TCTGCGCATGAACTGGACCTGCTTGAAACCTCAACAAACCCTGATGTACCCACTGTGCTGAGTGCTCAGTAACCTTATCGTGACACGTATTTTTTATTGAACAGTATGCCCAGCATGGCCACGAAAGACCAAGTCGCGCTGCCAAAGAGATTTCTGCAACTGTGGGGAAGCAGTTGTGATCCATGGCTGAGTTCGTGGGGTCATGGATGCAGGTTTCTCTCAAAGCTCTTGGGTGTTGTTTTTGAGGTATTGGTTTTGTTTTGGGTTATGGGTTTCCTTCCAGAGGGATCTCCAAATGCGTGTCGTGCTTGAAGTAGAGTTTCAACTCCATGAACTACTGTTTCCGTGGCTGCGGACTCCGCGTGCGTAAGTTAGGCTCTGAGGTTTCACCTTGCTGCTGTTTTGTGTTTTGTTTGTGTGTTTTGTTTTGTTGTGTTTAGTGTTTCTTTTTCGCGGCTTGTTCGAAGTATTGGATATCGGAGGTATGCACTATACACCGTGTGTTCGTGCTGCTTGGGTGATGGGGTCAGATAGCAGCCATGCAAAGTTCTGGACTCAAACTTACCTAACCAACATCTCTGTATCGGTTTATTGAGTGGTACCCCCAAAGGGGCACGAACTTGGAAATCCACCCATATATAGATTAACACAGATGGCCATAGACCCGCATATTGACACATACTGTACGTGCAATCTACAACCAAATCTTGGGGGTTCAGTCATGGCTAAATTTTCCCTGAACCCGAAGCGCTTATCCCATCAAGTGCAATGCAAATCCCATGGGTCATCGCCAAGGCAACAATCATGCCCTTCACACCAGGTATCGAAACGAATTCGTTTCCCGTTTGGCCCCACAATCAAGTCAGAAAAATCGATCAGGCCAAGAGTCACACTACGACACCCTGCCTAAAGCCAAAACCACCAAACTCCTAAAACCTGGCCTCAACCCTGAATCCAGACACTAGTTGGGAGCTGAGGGGGTTTCGGTGACCCCGGCTGTTCAACTGTTGAGTAGGAGCCCATAGACATTGCTGAAATTTCTAAGGTGGCAGGCTGCGCCGAGCTGATGTCTCAGCAGCTTTCGAAAGCTGCAGGCCCAAACGGAAGCCTGTAGGGGATCAGGTTTCTGGATGTATTGGTGTTTGTGCATCGGGGTAGGGGTTTTCAGTGAGCATGTATCATGTACCTATGTAGGTAAACCCCAGTAGGTGGGGGCTCCATCCTTCTTATGCAAGTGACCCGACGCTTGGCGGCTCACCGTCGCCTTGGGCCATCTGAACGGGCTTTGCAGTTGCAGAAGATGGGTTTAGGGCTTAGAGTTCAAGGTTCAGGGTTCAGCGGTTTAGGAGTTTCGGGTTTGGGGTTTAGGCTTTGGGGGCGGTCGTTACATACAACTATTCCCTCGCGTCCTTCTGTATATTTCATGACATTACATATAACACAACTCAAAAACCTAAGCTTATCAAGGCTTGTAGCCAGCGTCTGCCAACCGCAAGGGCTCGAAACTCCTCCTGACCCCGCCGAAGGTAGGGCTTCCTTTTAGGGTTCCTGTAAGGCTTCCCTGAAGGTTCTTCAGAGGGTGCCCACAATAATCGCAATAATACGAAAGCCATAAACCCCTAAACCCTTAAACCCCTAAACCCGAAACCTTGGACCCAGCCCGAAGTCTATAGTACCGGTTCGTGTTCAAATGGGAGTTTCCGAAATTAGGGGACCGTAATATAGCACCCTAAATAGTAGGATCCTTATTATAGGGACCCCAAAGAAGGTACCCCTAATTTTCGGAAACTCCCAAATACGTACCTCTCGAGCCAGGGATCGCAATAAAGACCTGCCCCTCAGGATCGCCCCTTGATACTAAGCGAAGAACCCTGGGAATAATAGTGATAATCATACAGTCCCCTAGATACCAAACAAAAGCCGTATGTCCCTGATACCCAAAGCCTTGAACCTCAAAGTTCCTAACCTTACGCACCGAAGCTCTTATTTGCCGTTGGCACTCGACCGCAAGCCCTTGCTCTTGCAGTGTGAGGCCGTCCGGATGAAGATGAGGCGACCTTTCTGGATTTCTATATTCCCCTGAGGGTCCATGTACCCAAATAGTATATACTTAGGGCCCAAAGTAACAATATAGGGACTACTTTGAGGCCAAAGTATGTACTATTTGGGTACATGGACCCTTAGGGTTCTCTTTGGGCTGTAGAGTTGTTTTTTTCAATGGGCACTAGATCTTCCAAATCCCTTGAATTTAGGAATACCCAGAGGGCCCAAAGTATTTCTTTCAGGGAAAACCTTATATGATTCTATATACGAATCCCAAGAGAAACTACTTTGGGGCCTTTGGGTACTAAAATTATATCAGGGATCCTACTGTACAGTAATTTAAGGTGCATTCCTGCATTAGGGGCTTTGGGAAGATATGGGCTGTGCATGGCTTCTTTACGGCTTTCTACACCGCAAACCCCGCAGCCCTAAACATTGGCAGTACACTTTAAAGGAGCCGCTGTGGTGCTCAATAGGGGGCTTATGGGCCTTGAAGTTACAATGGAATAGTTGAGGGTGTCTAGGTCTATCCCAAACTCCTAAACTTTAAAAGGCCGCCTTGTTTTGGTTGTTTGTTATCGGGTTCCCGGGAGTGTTGGTCACATCGATCCGGGCCTTCCAAGATCCCTTCGTTACGGAATATACCATAAGTTACTGTAGGATCCATAATACTGTGGATGGACAATGTCCTGCATGACCCAATATAAGGAATATACCATAATTCCCCATAGTTTAGGGTCCTTAAGGTCATGCAGGATTTTGTCTATCAACAGTATGGTACAAGGAGTCTCCCTCCACGCGGGCATAGTGGAAGATCTGGGCGGGCTTCTAGAGGGACTCTTGAGTTCAGGATTTTCAGGGCTGCTTAGGGTTCCGGCTTTGGATTTCGGGTTCAGGGCTTGTGGCAGGGGCCTTTAGGGTAGTAGTATGGGTTTAGGGTTCAGGGTTTAAAGATGTAGGATTGAGGGTTCAGGGATTGAGACTATGTAGACCCTAACCCCAAAGTAACCCACCTTTTTAACGACCTGTATAAAGAAATCATATTTTGGAACCCTAAAAAGATAGGTTCCTTAGGGTCCAGGGAGGGGATTCTCATTGAGAATGCCGGGTTTAGAGTCTAGTGCTCCGGGTTTCCATAGACAACAAGCCGCTGCATCTTGCGTAACGTAGGCGCCGTGTTATAATACGGGTTAAGGGTTTAGGGTTTGAGTGACGGTTATGATAGACTGGGGGAGAAATAAGATGGGAGTTTTGCGAAAACTGGGGACCCGAATATGGTACCCTAAATAGTAGGAACCCCAAATAAGGTACCCCTAATTTTCGGAAACTCCCAGATATTCCGTGGGCCAGACTTTCCGGGCACAAGAGGACTTTAGATTACGCCCAGGTCAACAAATTGATATCAGGACATGGGATAGGCGTGGCTCGAAATCCCTCATCCGGTTGATGATATAAATCCTACATTACCTTAATGGCCCTAGACTATGGGAATTATGGCATATTCCTCATTGTGGGTAAGGCAGGATTGATATCATCAACCGTCTCACTCTACCTTAACCTACCAAAACCTACAAAAAAGTAGGTACAAATCCTGCATGACCCAGAATTAATAAGGACTATACCATAGTTCCCATAGTCTAGGTCCCATAGTCTAGAGGCCTCAAGGTAACGCAGGCTTTATATCATCAACCGTAGTACTACTCTTACTACCCACCCAAGACCCGACCGCGACTTTCTTAATTTATGCGGGATTCAACAATAAGATGGATTCTTCCAGAAAACAATTGAACACCAGATTGAGATGTGGCCCTGATGGCAACCGCTACAATTGGCCAAAGCTCAGCGGCAGTTCAGGCCGAGGGATTCTGCAGATCTTAAACTTACCTTAGTATCTATCCATTGTAGTTCCTTTTTTGGTTTAACCAGTTTTATATTGAGGACCCTAAAAGGTAACCCCCAAAAAGGAACTAGAATGGAGACTGTAGGTTCAGTCAGGAACACCTCAAAGCTTACAGCTTGAGGCATGAATCCTAGATCCTGTGTCCCAAACAGGATCATTCTGAGCTCAAACCCTCAACCCCTTTGTAGGGGCTTTCATAATTACTAACACTACTTTAGGGGTTCCTTATTATACTTAATATAATGGGGCCCAAAACCCTATTCTAATCAATAAGGCCCCTAACCTAAGGGTCCGAGTACCTAATTATCATATACTCTTCCAAGTAGTAACCTACATAATAAGTACCTAATTCTTGGGTCCTTTGGACCCGTTCCGCTCCGAAGAGTTCTTCAGAAGCCCTTATAGTCTAGGGCTCAGAGTAGGCCCTTATACCCTTTTTGGCGGTTCCGGTCCCCTTATAACCCCTTTTACACCAAAAAGGGCACCCTTTTTATTCCCAGGTTACTCTTAGGTCTAGTAGTAAACCTTCTATATAGACCCTTCATAAGAACCCTTTAAGGGAACCCTAAACCCTAAACCCTAGCCCTGAACCCTTTACAAGAACCCTCTAAAGGAACCCTATAAAGGAACATTATCAGGGAGTTTCCGCAAATAGGGGACCCCGGATCGCTGCAGGGCCGCGGCCTTTGGCCCACCCTCAGCAGAGTTCTTTTCGGCCCCATGCTCAGCAGTGTATACAGTGAACCCTAGAAAGTTGGAACATGAGCTTAGGACGATTAGTGCTAGGGTTCCCTCTACCTTGCCTTAAGGGCTTGAGGATAATGATGTTCCAACTTTCTGGCTTCTACTGTACTAGGTTCCTGAGTAGTACCCTTTTGCCCTCTTTAGTTTAGGGTCTCCTTATTAAAACAAAACAGTAGGAAAAAAACGTACCCGTATTGTAAAGGGGCTCCTCAGGAACCTCGTTCTCTGGCCCTACCTAGTTTATACATGCATAAACAAGCTCTCTGTGTGTGCATGGGTGTACATAGAGATTGCCCTTGGAAGGTGTTGTACG